CTTTACTTTACTTTTTACTTATTATTTGCGAGAAATCACTGCATACCGGGCTGCTTGCCTGTCTGCCCGCACAGTTCTACTCGAGAATCAGAGGAGGAGTTTTGATGAAATTGGCGCGGATAATATGCCACTGGAGCCAATCCTTGGAACGTACTTCTTCAATTTATGCAATCAATTACGTCAACATGCGAGATGTTCGAACTACTGAGATGGGAGTGATAATAGTAACATTTAATACAACGTCCAGTATATTAACAGGAATTTCAAGGGTATGCTACTTCCGTTAAAGTTTCTTAGTTCTTATAAAATGCAAGGCAACAAAATGGCGACTGCATATACTCAACGTTTCGCTTTCGGTTTTATAGCGATGCTCACCGAAATCCTATATACGCGTATATTCTTTTTGTGTTCTGAATTCCCTGCCAACCTCATCCTCTTCCACTTGGCCATTCTAATGATATTGGTGTAGAAGCACAGGTTATGAAGTTCCTCATTACGTATTTCTACTAATATTCTCCTTAGTACTCTGTTCTCAAACACCCTCAGTCTGTGTTCTTCCCCTAATGCTCGAGATCAAGTTTCACGCCCATACAAAATGACATTTCCTAATTTTTACGCTTTTAGCCAGCGGAGGAGGAAACAAAATGTTCTGGACTGAATGGTACTAAGCATTACCCGAATTCAATCTGGTCTTAATTTTTTTTTATGTATAAAATTTTGATCTGTTTCTGCCGTTCCCAAACGTCTGAACTTTGCCATGTTTTCAAAGTGTATGTTAACTACCTTTACGTTATGGTTCTGCCTTCCGTTCTGGTAATGAGACATCAGTATACACTCAATTTTCTCTGCGTTCACTTCTAGAGCAACATCCTTACTATCGTCTGTTAGAGCTTTAACTGGACTTTCCTAGTCGCCTAATATAAAAAGAAGTTTAAAAGCAAAGGCCATAAAGCGTCTCCTAGTTCAGACCATTCTGGTAACGAAACATAACATACAAATATATATCTAAGGACTTTCTCTACAGGTTTCATTCTAAGCCGTGTAACTATTTCCATGGACACTCCAATGAGAGCCGGGGTAGCTCAGTCGGTACAGCGATTCGCTGGAATGGAGGACCAAGGGATCGGGTTTCGAGTGCCGGTGTGGGCAAGAATTTTTACTTACCCATGTCGTCCAGAACGGCACTGGAGCTCGCGCAGCCTCCTATCCAATGGGTACAGGGGATCTTTCCCCGGAAGTAAAGCGGCCGAAGCGTGAAACTGACTACTCACCTCAAATTAGTGGTCAGTTGAAAAAAAACGTGGATCTATACATCCATTCCCTCATACGTCTTCATGGCGTAGTGCGTAATTAGTTAAGCACAGGGAAACTTTATATTCTTTTTACTCCAAACTATGAGAATAATGTGCATTACTCCCTTCTTAACTTATCATGAGCTTTCTTGAAGTCCATAAATAGCTGATGTACTCTTTCAATGTATTCCCATTTTGTCCCCAGTATCTGATGAATACGTACAAAACATCTGGTAAGTAAGTGATCTATTACACCGAAAACCACATTAATGACCCCCAATAATTCTGTCTATATATGGACTTAACCTTGAGTGAAGGATAATCAATAAATATATTAGTGACATGTCTTGATAATAAGTACAGTTAGCTTTATCACCCATCATGTAAATTTGTACAACGATAGCGTCCTTACACTGCTAAGGAAATTCTTTCTTATGTTAACCAGAAGTAATGAGATTATGAATGTCAGACCGTAGGAGGCACTATTCTACAAGCCGGAAGGTCGCGGGTTCAAGTTCCGATGAGATGATTTGATTTTTTACAATTGACCTACTCCTTCCAGCCGCACTATGGCCCAGGGGTCGACTCAGCCTCTAACAGAAATGAGTACCAGGAATTAATTAAATAATTTTCCTGAGGAGTAAAGCGCGGCCGGCGCGTAAGACTGACAACCTTACCGCCATCTCTGAGCCGATTGTCTACATAATGTGGGACTCTCAACGTTTCACAACCGTATGGGCCTTCACGGCCTGTTACGAAACACCACGGACGGTATTTTGGTTTTCTAGACCGGAGCCGCTATTTCTTTGACATAGCTCCTCAATTATCTTCACGAGGCTGAGGTGACCCGGTTGCAGACCCACTACGTCTCAGAAAATCTGGTAGCGCCGGGAATCTAACCCGGGACCTCTGGATCTGTAGCCAGGAACTCTGACCACTAGACCACAGAGGCGGTCTGCAATATTATTTCCCTCTCTGCTATCTGCTAATCTTTTCAAAACATTAAATAGAAATTTTCACTAATTAATACAGATCGAAAATATGGAATCTTGACAGAAATCTAACATGACCTAAATGCTGCGAATCCGATGTCAAGAGCTCAAGAATATGTGAGCTACTCTGTCTTAAAGAGAAAAGTTCGAAATTTTGGGTCTGCAACTCGCAGGCCTCCCCATTTGCAGAAAGTTATATTGACACCTGCCCTTCACAGCCTTCTGGAAGTTGTGTACAAATGAAGGTGGGCGTAAATTGCATTGAACCGAAAAGAAACTGGGTTAAGTTCATAAATATTGAATTTTTGGGATAGAAATTGAGCGAAATCTATGGCGCTGCTATCCACGGAGACTTTACAAAACTATAGTCCTGGAATCCATAGAATTTATACGGAAAATATAGCTTTATAGGTAAATTGCAATTGTACTTATATTTCTAGGCTTTATAAAGATTATACCAAATCTATATACATACTTTACACAAAATCTCTACCGAAACTATAGACTCGTGTTCCATAGAGATTCTACCATATCTATAGCCCCGTTTTGCATGGCGAATTTACGCAAAGTACAGCCCTGTTTCCCACAGCCACTACATGCCACATTTACTGCCCCGTGCTCCATACAGAATACAACAAATCTATAGGCATTTCCTACAAAAATAATACCAAAAGTATAGCCCTGTGCTCCATAGAGATTTTGTACCAAAACTATAGCACTAGGATATAATACAGATGCCACCAAATACAAGTGAGATTTTAGATAAGTAAAGATTTGAGCCTATGCCGATGATGTGAATCTACTGGGTGATAATTTAGATACGATAAAGAAAAACACACAAACTTTAATTGAAGCAAGTAAAGAGGTTGCTCTAGAAGTAAACACAGAGAAAACTAAGTATATGTTGCTGTCTCCTCAGCAGAAAGCAGGGCAAAATCATGACATGGAGATAGGAAACAGATGTTTGAGAACAGGGTGTTGAGAATATTCGGACCGAAAAGAATGAAGTGACAGGATAGAGACAACTGCATAATGAGGAGCTTCATAACTTGTACTCTTCTCCAAATATAATTAGAATCATCAAGTCAAGGAAGATGAGGTTGGCGGGGCATGTAGCACGAATGGGGGAGACGAGGAATGCATATAGGATATTGGTGGAAAAGCCAGAAGGAAAGAGACCACTGGGAAGACCAAGGCGTAGGTGGGTTGACAATATAAAAATGGATGTTAGAGAGATAGGATGGGATGGGATGGATTGGGTTGATCTGCCTCAGGATAGGGTCCAGTGGAGGGCTCTTGTGAACACGGTAATGAACCTTCGGGTTTCATAAAATGCTGGAAAATTCTTGAGTAGCTGCAGAATTGGCGGCTCCTCCAGAAGGGCTCAGCTCCATGAGTAAGCAAGTAAAGATCTGGGATCCACTGAGATTCTGTCCGCTTCTTACATGACGAATCCTCTTGTTTGTGTCGCAGTTAACTGACATTCACTCGGCTTCTGTCCCTCGGTTGGATGTATTTCTGTCAGGTGGGCTGGGAACCTGACGCAACGCTGCGAGTTATTTACAGATTTGGCAAAGCAAGTGTGAAGTAGGCTAGACAAATTATTAACCCAGAGCTGTCCATCTAGCGGCACGCCGGTAGCACGCAACCCACTGGTTTGTTGTTTGCAGCCCACGAAAGTAACCTTTCGTTCCCCAGAATAGTTGCTAACGCTTCTGCTTACTTTCAAAATGGCCGCAGGAACGTTACGAAAAGTGGTTATGAAATATTCCACTAATAGTACTTCAATTGATCACACAGGACACAAAATAAATAATTCATAAAACTGTGGAATTAATTAGGCTCCATGGCCATAAGCAGTGTCAATAAAGCGACAAAGCTGATTTTTAAGCACCGTCGGCCTGGCTGTATTTAGTTTAAAGAAATTGTTTTGAATCCCGTGTGTGTGCAGATATTGTTGTTATGCTTGTGCGTTATACATCTGACCAGCACGGGGGCAGATACTTCTATCGGTATATTTTAAATTTTTTTTTAATTTTGGCCCTAAGTACAATGCACCCTCTAAATGATTTCGATTTGAGCAGCCCTGAATTATTTTTTTTCAATTCGCTTAGTGGGGGGGTGGAGTCCAACTGGGTCCACTCGGCACGGCGGCCACTGATTGGCCTATTGTAGCCTGCCCCGGGTCATTATGATGATGGAGAATTTGGTGGAATGTAGATTGGCAGATGAAACAGAAGTACTCGGAGAAAACCCGCCCCAGCTCCACTTTGTCCACCACAAATCCCACTTGACCAGACCCGTAATCGAACCCGAACCGCCATGACACTGATATGCCAGACCTTCGGTTCTGTTACGTCTTCTGTTGTGGTACTGTACGACACTCGCTTTCTGTTGGCGTCGGCTTTGGCGTGGCTCCTGGTTGAAGTGTCCACACAACATGGTACGAATATACCAACGCCAATGCAAGAACTACAACCTACATCACCCTACTGCAACATAATTTCACTTATAAATTTATGGAACAGTTATATCCCATATATTTTAATCCTATAGTTTTGCAGAATTTTTTTTAATTTTCTCTTAATGAGATGCACACTCCGTGTTGTGGTCTAGTAAGAACGAAATATGTCGGGATTTAATTACAGGGTAGTCAAATTAATCAGTAAACAAGACACAGTTATATGGTCACTTCCATCTCAATTTCGTACCAGGAACACGAGCCCTAACAGTCTGTCAGTCAGTTCGCCCTACTGTCGAGCCCCATTTGAGGTTCTTGGTCATGTTCTATTTTTTGTTTGGACGGATATACGTCTGTCGTTTTTGTGGCGTCGCCTCTGAGGGCGAGTTTGTTACTTTTCAGACCTCACGCTTAGTTATGCATGTTCTCATTATTTAGGCTTCTACATCTGTACATTTCATGTAATGAGTCGGAGTTCTAGTCCCGGTAAGGACCAGCTTCCTATCGGGAAGGTACTGGGGGCTCTCTTCCCGGGGTAAAGCTACCGGTGCGTGAAGATGACCACTCACCTCCAACTAATGCCGAGGCCATGAAAACGTGGATCTACAAAATCAATGCCCCGTATATCTTCATGCTGTAGTACTTAATTAGTTAAGCACAGGAACAACTTTATATTTTTACATTTATACGTCATATATAGTGTGCCCTTGTCAAGGTTCTCAGCCACTGTCATATGCATATACACAAATTATTTACTTTTGTCGAAATATATACAATACTTCATAATATTAATGCAGGACCTCTGTGAGGCCAGGCTTTGCAAAGCAAGCACTGCAAACGACAAGTCACTTTCTCGCTACTTTCTATTTTCTAAAAGCTCAAATCCAAACAACGTTGCGTCCGACTCTCAGTCGGTCTGTTTATCTTCGTGTCGAGCCCCTCCTGACGGTTATGGCCGGATTTTTCTGTCCGTTTAGACACCGCAATCTTTGTTGCCGTGGGACGTCTTCTGTGACGAGAAGGCGGATCTGTCCTTCGTCAAATCTGTGTCTTAGTCATTGTTACTGTATACACTTGCATATCTACAATTTTATGCACCGAAGCAAAACACACAGACACATATAGAAGGCCTCTTTCAGTTCAGACTTTGTGCCACAACGGCACCTTAATCATTTGAACGGCCTTAAGCTTGACTACTGCTGAGTTTAAGCCTCTTTCATTGCTTATATTGAGCTGAGTCTCGTCCTGTGTTAGGAAAGACGGAAGAGGAGGAGGAATACTAAGGCACCGTATATCTTAAGGGGCTTTGAGGAGAACTGAAAAAAGAGGGAGGGTAATGTGGCCTGCGGATGCCTTACGGATATTCTGAGCAGACCAGCTGCATATGCCACAACGAATTGTTGTTCCCTTTTATCAGCGCTGTCCGCACAACTGCGGTAAGTTTTCTGCAATGGGTCCAACATGAGAAGCCTCCCCAGATGGTTTTCCCTGAATACAAAGGGCCTGATGAGGCACAACGTACCTCACCTCTGACGAGATGTTCCCATTGCGAAAGGCAGTCGCCATCAAATCAACCGAAACGCTGAGACCTGTCATTTATATTGCATAAATAAGCTAAACTCCGTTACGGACCCAACATTTTGAGTAGCTGCAGAAGTGGCAGCTTCTCAAGGATGGCTCAGCTCCATGAGTGAGAGTGAGTTCCATTATCATTCGAGGCTCTGGAACAGCGTCGTTAAATAATGAATAAGTTGAACTAGCTGCCGTTATCACCAGTCCTTTGCATGTAGATAGGCTGTAACATTGTAAAAAATGTAAAATTCTCCTGTGCTTAATTAGTTAAGCACTATATGGGGGAGTGAGGATATAGCTCTGCCTTTCTTGATCTCGGCACTAGATGGAGGTGAGTGTCAAGCTTCAAGCTCCGGTAGTTTAACCCCTGGGAAAAGAAACCCCAATCGCCAATGGACAGGAGGCTCGTTGGTCCTCAGATTCGGTCGAGAAGCTGTGGAGAGGAGAAAAATCTCGCGCTGCCGGGAATAGAATCCGGACAGTCCAGCCCGCAGCCCGTCGTTATGCAGACTGAGGTGTCCCGGCTCCTAACAATATAAACAGAGTGCGTTGAACCACTGTTATTTTTGCTGCACCTTCAGATGAAACATTCTGAATCCCGTGAGGGTTAGACACTGGATTGATTGGTTAGACGATGGGTCTTTGTTTCTTGCCAGTATGAGAACCCCCCACTGAGGCCTGATCCATTGATACCATTGGGCGTTCTCCCTAGCGATAAGACGGTCGGAGCACGAAGATACCAACACTAGCATTGCGTATTTATGAGTAATAACGTGTCGCATTTCTTGTTACTCAAGGTTTTCCTCAGGCCTTGCATCCTCCGCAGTTGACATCACGTCCCGGTTGGACCGGTGCCCAAGCCGTCCTAAATATGGAGCGTCGTGGCGTTGAGCTCAGTCAGTCTGTCCCAGGCGATCGTACTCTCCGGCCACCCGTCTCTCAAACACAGGTGAGTGAGGTCCGGAATTCAATTCCTGACTCTTTTCTTTGCATATTTTAACTTGTGAGGACGGAGGGACAGGATATAGATCCCTTTCTATTCATTTAGGCTTTACTTCACAGTATCTGCTCTGTTACCTTAAAGTAGTAGTTGGCTAATGAATTGTCATGGCCGGAAACTCAAAGCGTCTAACATTCCCGTAGCTCAGCAGCACTAATTGACCTGCGCAGAACACGAAGTATCCATTCACATAATATCCTAAGCCACTCATTTGTTTCAAATTTCTTATGCCTACTGATTTTCAATTGCTCCTTTTTTAAGAAATTTAATTCTTATTCTTAATTTTGCCCATTCTTTAAGTTATGTGTCGTGTAGTTTCGTATCCAGTGGATAATGGGAACCCTTTCCCCGCAGTAAATCGACCTGGACGTGAAGTTGACCACTTATTTCTAACCAGTGCTTCAAGGAAACGTGGATGTACACATCTACTCCCCCATACGCCTTCATGGCATAGTGCTTGACTAGTTCAGCACAGGGACAACTTTTCTGCACGAAACACTACACTCTTGGATAAGCTGTGACGCAGCAGTACTAAATGTAACATTGTCTACCACTGTCGGGTCCCTTTAGAACTTGGGGATTAATGTTCCTTGTCAAAGTAAGACACTCCCCCCGGCTCACAGACACTGAAATTAAAAATTGGCCTGTCCATAACCGCGGTACTCAAAGAATTTTCCAGTCTGAAGGCTGAAGAAGGAGGTGCTCCACGGACAATTTGGATTCTTTAGTCGCCAGCAAATACGAGTATAAAATGCAACAGTGAAACAAAATATTTAACATTTGTGACACAACATTCAGAGTTCATGGAGGTAGTCCTAGGCCCGCTGGGGCTGTAGTGCCAGGGGGGGACACAACATTCATGAAAATTCTGATAGAAATTTCAGTTCTATCTATCTATCTATCTATGTATGATTATCTATGGCTCTCATGCCCTTAGTTGGACTTTGGCCGATTTTTTATTCAGTTCTTAATCTTATACACAGTCGGTAAGACTAGTTGGACGGGGGATCAGCCCGTCGCAAGGCCATTACCTACACACAGAACAACACAAACACAGAATAAACGCAAACAGACATCCACGCCTTGATCGAAATTCGAACCCACAATCCCAGGGTTCGAGAGAGCGAAGACAGTTTATGCCTTACACCGGGTGGCCACTGCGATCAGCGAAATTTTAGTTTTACCTCAAAAAAAGAAACACAATATGTCTCCACTAAACAGACTAATCCATTAATAGTGTTTGTGGAATTAATCGCTGTTTCTTCCGTAAAAAAAACAACATAAAATTGTGCCCATGCTTAGTTCGTTAAATACTACTTCATGAAGAAGTACGGGGAGTGGAGGCTCCACCATTCTTGTCCTCGACATTACATATAGGTCAGCTTCACGTCTCAGCCGTTTTATCCGAGGGGATGAAGCCCCCGATATCCATTGTGTAGAAATCTTGAAGCTGTGTTATAGAGAAAACTCCGTACCCTAGCCGTGAATAGAACTCCAGCCATCGAACCCGTAGTCGGCTGCTGTACCGACTGCGCTATCGCGGACATCCGAGCTATAAATAAGGTGGAACTCTTAAATAGAGTACGTTGTTTGTGATGAAAGTTAAATTTGTTTTACGTCGATGACGTGGCCCGTGTAGTAAACAATTTACTGCGAAGGGTTAAAGCCGAGGCTCACAAGTGAAATGCAGTACATTTCGTAGGAAACTGTGGGTCTTCTTACTGAGCCTCTCATTTCCCCGTTTTTCGATACGCAACACATTCCAGTGAAATGGACGTTACTAGGATTCTAAAGTTAAAGTAAACTTGCCTCTATGCTTAATTAAGCACTACGTCAAGAAGACACATGGGAGAGCAGAGTTGTAGCTCCATGTAGTTTTTTTCCTTGGCACTACAGCCCCAGTGGGCCTAGGCCTACCTCCATGAACTTCTCCGTTCACTTCGGTTTTTCTAGATCTTACACATTCGGTAGGACTCCTTGGGCGGGTGATCACCTCGTCGCAAGGCCTCTACCTGTACACAAACACAGAAAAACGCACACACAAACTAAACATCCATGCCCTGAGTGGGATTCGAACCCACGATCCCGGTTTCCAAGCGAGCGAAGACAGTATATGCTTTAGACCGCTCGGCTACCGTGACCGGCCCATGTAGTTTAACTTCGGCAATAAATGGAGCTGAGTTGTGAGATTCACGCTCCGGTCGCCTCGACTCCGAGTAAAGATATATCTATACCCATTGCATAGGAGACCGGGACTCGAACCCTGCATATGCTCGTGTCCACCTAGCAGACAAGTCAGTGTGCTTACTGGAAATATAATTTGTAAACACGTTTTTGAAAACGTCCGCAGAGAAATGATTGTGTTTATTGGGAAAGAGTTACGACATGCAATAAACTCACTTATTTAATCCGTTCCTCTTATACATTAAGGTGTCGATGTTGTTTTCTTTTTTCATTTTGATAATTTTATAGACGGTAGGACTCCTTGGGCAAGTGATCAGTTCGTCGCAAGGCCTCTACTTAAACACAAGACAACACAAACACATACAAATACCAAACATCCATGCCTTGTGTGGGATTCGAACACACGATCCCGGCTTCCGAGCGAGCGAAGACAGTACGTGCCTTAGACCGCTCGGCTACCGGGACCCGTGACATGCAATGAAATAGAAGGAAACAAAATTAGTTCATATGAGAGTTAAAAGTTACGGCTTACCGCAGACGCACTCTGCGATTGTTTGAGAGTAAATTTCTGAGAAATGCACTTTGACTTAATCCAGAATAAATGCCAGATTACTGGAGAACATTACCTAACAAAGAGCTTAATATTGCGCGTATCCACCTTCAGCTGCTACCGGCATGCGATGGGACGAACACTTTGTAGACGTGGTGAGAAGAGAAATGCATACAGAAATTTCGGCGGGAATCTTCAAGGAAAACGTAGCCATAAATGAGATGTTAACACCAAAATTTGTCACAAAGAAACAGGATCTGTGGGGGTGAGAAATCGATTGAATAATTTCGGGACGGAATCTAATGTTAGACTTTGTTTCATTCTTTAGGTCACGCTAACAAAAAAAAAGTCAATTAATTACGTTATTTAATTTATAAATAATTGTTTACTGCATTGATGTCAGGTCATTTCATTAAAATGGTTAATTGTTTATACAAATTGTACCCATTGGAATTTTCATAAAAATTATTTTGCTACCTATGCTTACGTAACAGAATTTTATGCTTGGATGTTTAAACTTGTTTTGTTGCCAACTGCGCGCGCGGGGACTCTTGTCTGGTAATTAAGGAGTCTCACCTCACCTCGCTATATCCTGGTCGCCTGCAGTGGCTGATTGCCGGGTTTGAGTAACCATTCCTTTAAAGTACGCTCCTCATATATATCACCTGCCATCACATTCGAAACTTTGCATTTTGCCCTTATAATGTATTTATGTTTTGTATGATTCTCAGAAGAGCTTCACAGCTTGTACTTTTGTCCAAGTGTAATTAGGATGATCAAGTCAAGGACGATGAGGTGGGCAGGGCATGTAGCACGAATAGGGGAGATGAGGAATGCATATAGGATATTGGTGGGGAAGCCAGAAGGAAGGAGACCACTGGGAAGACCAAGGCGTAGGTGTGGACTGGATTGATCTAGCTCAGGATAGGGACCAGTGGTGGGCTCTTGTGAACACGGTAATGAGCCTTCGGGTTCCATAAAATGCTGAGAAATTCTTGAGTAACTGCAGATTTGGCTTTTCCTCAAGAAGGGCTCAGCTCCATAAGTAAGTAAGTAAGTATTTTTTTTATTGCTAGTGAGGTGGGACTAAGACCCTTGTACTGCGGACATTTCTGGCCTATTTTACCAGCCCCAGATGATAGGCGAGGGTAGGTATGTTTTGATTCAATTTTGAAAATGTTTGTAGCTAACCTCTATAACATACTTCAGTAGGGGCTATCAACGGACCTTTGCAAAATCGAACCAAAGGTACTTGCATACCAGCAAATCATTCAGACAGGTATTTTATAGGTTGAAGCGTCTATGCATTTTTGGGGGCCCCTCTGTATTTTTGTACATTCTATTGGGCATTTTTGGGACCATGACAGTCCGTAAATGTTCGTGTGTAGGCCCGTGTATATTTCTGACAGAGTGTGGCACTTGGCACAACTCTACACGTTTGGGGACAAACGTGCTGCATGATCACGTCACGTGCCTAATGATGCGTTGCTATGACAACAGAAAAGTGCTCGCGCCATTTAAACCGTCTCCCCTGGCTACCCGAAAATTCGGGTCATACGGTGTCTTGTTCCCCCGCGCTATTTCGGGCAACGCGTGGCCGCGACATAAATAGCTCACCTCAACCAGGGATGACCAAATTGCCTCCTATTTTCACCCAGTCGGTGAGTATTTTGGGTAAAGCGAAAAGCTGAAGATTTACGCAGCTGTATTCCTTATTTCATGGTTTTGTATTGACTAATATTTTTTTTGTAGCAGCGAAACATATGATGTGACTGAGTTTATCCGTCCCTAACCCGAAGCAGGTTTAGAAGTGTGAAAGCTAACATTTTTGGATCACCTTGACCAATGACGGTTGAAATTCCAATTCTTATTCAGCTTATATGAATTAGGCCTTCAATCCTCTACCAGTTGAGAATTGACTTCTGAAAATAAATGTTAAAGACAGTTGGTAGAATTCCTTGAGTGTTGAGTCGGCCGTTAGTAAGAGCTCTACCGACATAGAACTACAAAACACAGACTAAATGCTGGCATACATCCATGCCTTGCGTGGGATTCGAACCCATGACTGCAGTGTTATGTCGACAGTTTAGACGTATATATATATATATATGTATATATATACATACATATATGTGCTTGTTATCAGTGTTTGTCAAAGAGAGATAACAGGAAAATGTACAATAAAATTGTGATTAATGTATGTATCTACCGGAAGTAACGCAAGAAAGAAATGAAAAAATGCAACAAAACCAACAAATCGAATCGAAAAATACCAATACATCAACAATCCGATCAGCCAATCTATTTTGGATACTTTTCCCATATGGGTTCCCCTTATCAACAACGAGGTTAGCAACTCAAGGAGAAAGTCAATATGATCAGAGAAATCATTCGTGGGCTATCTGTATTGTAGTTTTAGACCCTGGGTTCTATATTGTTCGACAGCGCTAACGGTAGCTAGGTGTGTGTGTGTGTGTGTGTGTGTGTGTGCAGGTTCCCCAACCCAACAGACTAGGGAACTGACCCCTCAACACATACAACTGACGACGGTCAGCTTCACGCCCCTGCCGCTTTACCACCGTAGAAACATCCCCCGGTACCCATGGGATATGAGGTTGGGTGGGCCCCAGATTAGGTGTAGACGACATGGACAAATGAAAATTCTTACCCCCACCAGGACTCCAACTCCGACCCCTTGGTCGTCCAGCCCGTACCCAGTCGCTATACCGACTGAGCTACCCCGGCTCTTGCAGGAAGAGGTTCGAAACACGAACCTGAACTCACTTTTCAGCAAAGCAATAGCACAGACAGGGACTGGGTGTAGGGTTCGTGTGTTGACATGCCTGGTTGCATACGGAGAGTTCTGAGATCGGCACCTTGATTCAAGTTTCCAGTAGTCTTCCCCGGTCCTAGAGCCAATGCTGTGTTGGTACATAGAACCCATCTTGTACTACACGTTTCACATGCGCCCTCCTCCGGTTGTTGGCATCAAAGTGTCTATCTAAGCGCAGTGGCCATTCACAACTTCGTTCTTCTGCTGGCTATTATAGCGGTGAATTTATGGACTTGCATTCGGATGGTCCTAGGTTCAAATATGAGCCGGGACACCGGATATCTTGAATGAGGGTCTTCAGTTCAAGCAGACAAACCCATTTCGACCAAGACCGCTTCCCTCCAAATCCGTGCCGGTTAAATATGATGGTTATTAGTTGGTCAGGAGCCTAGATAACGTAGTCGATATAGCTACTGGCTACAGGCTGGAAGACCGAGGAGTCGGAGTTCGAGTCCTGGTAGGGTCAAGAATTTTCTCTTCTCCGCATCGTTCAGATCGGCTCTGGGGTCCACCCAATCTCTATATAATGGGTACCAGGGCCTCTTTCCCCGGTGGTAAAGCAGTTGGTGTGTGAAGCTGACCACTAGTCTCCAACTAGTGCCGAGGTCAAACGAATGTAGATCTATACAACCACTCCCCATACGCCTTCATGGCGTAGTGCTTAATGAGTTAAGCACGGGGACAACTTTACCTCTTATTAGACAGTCAGCTGAAATTCCATCCCAGAGTCTGATGAAATGTTGTGGCTGCTGCCAGTCACAGGAACTTCTGCATGGGCCCCGACGCTTACTTCTAGCCATACGCCCGGCAACTGAGGAATATTGTGTAGTCTTGTTAGGTATTAGTCGTCTTGAATGCGATCTGTTTTCTAAAACATTTAAAAGTTTTAAACATAAAAACCTTTTCTACATCAGTGGTGTTTCGATCAACATTTTCCATTTTCAAGTGTCTCCAAAATTGGCTGGTGTGGCACGCGGTAGCGTAGTTGGTTGAGATATTAAGCTACAAGCCGGAAGGTCGCGGGATCGAATCCCGATTAGGTCATTGTGTTTTTTTTCAATTTGCCTAATCCTTCCAGCCGCACTATGGCCCTCGGTTCGACTCAGCCTCTAACAGAAATGAGTATCAGGGATATTCTTTGAATATTCTTGGGGGTAAAGGGCGGCAGGCACGTAGGGCTGACAACCTTACCGCCATCTATGAGCCGATTGTCTAGAAAATGTGGTAACCTCAACATCTCACAACCCTATGGGCCTCCACTGCCTCTTACACGGATACCTTTACTTTTTTACTTACTTTACTCCAAAATTGCTGATGAAATTGCTATGCTTCCGTTCTTAAGTTTATTTTTTCTCGATATGCCCTCGTCTATGCGTTCATGTGTGCTATGTTGATATGTAGTTCTTATTGTGTCCTGTGTAGCTGTTATGAACGTGGTGCTTTCCTGGTGATTCACTGACTACATGATGTAGCGTTATTGGTTTTATGAATATAATGCATTTATCATAGCAATGCATCGGTTACAAGAACAGACTGTTTATGAAATGGATGAGGAAAGATACTATGAATTTTATTTCCGAGGTAACTTGGTCAGAATCAATAATATACGAGATAATAATGCAATGCCTTTGCACCGATTTCTTGATGTTGTGATTAGGATAAAATTATTAAATTTAATTTGTTTCATTCTGGTCCGTCACACTAACAATTACAAATATAAATCACTCCGTCCAATGTGACCTGTAAGTTTATTACTACATTAAAAACTTAACACCCTTACATGTTTCGGTCTCTGCGGACCATCTTCAGAGGGCAAACATCACTACAAATAGGAAACCACCTTCACATAAGTTGTTTAGACGTAAAGCACGTACACTTATATGTTACAATGCATAGTACACAAAATAGAACATTTCACAAACACAGCAGTTTCCTGGGAATGTAAAGTTTTTAAAAATTATTTAAAATTTCTTGATGCTAATTAAAAATTTTGCATTGTCAGTAATTAAAATTCATATACCATGCAGGCTCGCGTTCGTCCTCCCATCATCCATCTTGTATGGGGCAGATATTGTGCCACCTGTCTGTCTTGTAAATATAATATGTAATATGTAAAGGTAAAGCTATCCCTGTAACAGGCCGTGGATGCCCATATGTTTTTGAGACGTCGAGGCTCCTACATTTTCTTGATTATGTCTAAGGAAAATCTCGGTACAACAAAATCACTTACCTATGTAGTGTGTTTGTGTTTGCAACAGTAACTGAAGATTAGAACGAGCGTCATGCATGCAAGATGGCGCTCACGTGACGTGTGCATTCTAAATAAAGATCATGGTTTTGTTTCAGGCTCAAGACCCTAGTACTCGCATACCAACATGGCGGACGATGAGGTGAGGTGAGTAATCTCAATGATGCTACTCATCTTTCTGAATCAACTGACACTGTTAGAGGAAATGAGACCAGCGAAGAATTATGCTCTGTAATGTATTCACAATATCAGGAATATTATAAATAGAAATATTTATAGCATTTACCTTTTAATATTCTTACTGACTTAATTTAATTTTACTTACAAAATTTGTTTTAATTTAAATATTGGAGCTTATATATAAAAGCAGTCTTATTTTAAACCAGTATATATTAAACTATGGATGGAATAATTAAATATTTCTCCATCATGAAAAAAATTGAAATATTTGTGACGTATTTTATTGCCCTGGTTACTGATTGTTGTTTCTCTTCTCCCTCCTTTTCCCTCTTCAGTGCCCCTTATCCTGCCTTTTGTGTCTCCAACAGGAATCACGTGTTGCTTTAGTAAACTGACGTCACTTCCTGTTGTTGTTTGCTTCACTCCACCTTCCTAATGACAGTACATTACAGTGTGGAGCATATAATACTGTAACAAAACACAATATTTCACATAAAAATTATAGAATTAAAAAATTCTTACGGCTTATAGTGGCACAGGCATCAGTAGTACATTGACTCACCTGTGTGTTTTATACAGATGTATAAGAGAAACGACGTAAGTCAGGTTACATATGAAACAATAATAAACGTAAATCAAATTGAGGAATTTCTAGGTTATGCAATGTTTTTCGTCGAAATTCTAAGTGACAAAGCTCAGAATGTTATCTGTAACTCTGAAATCGATTCAGTGAGAAGGTACTTATTTTTAGTATGGGCGGTAAAATTTTAGACATTACAATTTCTGATTTCATATTTCCGAAAACTCGAAAACAATTCTTTCAGTGGCTCTATTTGTATGAAGGTTTTTTGGGGCATAAGAGATCCAAAATCGCAGAAACTCAAATAACTGAATAAAGTATACGACATCCAGACATTTCACAGAAAGTTAGCAGAGGGTCTGGGAGTTCTCTGTGAAACAGCAAAATAACCGCCTTTGAAGGGCACTGCCTTCTTGCATGTGACGTGCATGTAGTCCGGTTGACGCTCACCAATATTTCGGAGGAAATTATTGCCTCAGTCTTTAATGCCGAAGAGTAAGTTAAGCAAGCAACCAGGGAAACATAGAAATATGTTCTTTCGAAACGTCGGTGAACCCTTAACAAACTACGCGGTGTCACATCCCAGAAGTTAGGACACTTCACAATCACCACTGTGAGAACCTCAAACTCAGTATAGTTTCACGTTATCTATTCATCCATCAATCTATGGCTCTACAGCCCTTGTGGAACTTGGACACTTTTTCAGTTTCTTAACCTATACGTAGTCGGTAGGACTCCTTGGACGGGGGATCAGACCACCGCAAGGCCGCTGCCTACCCACATAACAACACAAACACAGGATAAACGCACACAGACGTCCATGCCTCGAGTGGGGTTCGAACCCCCGATCCCAGTGATCGGGAGGACGAAGACAGTTCACGCCTTAGACCGTGGGGCCGCCGTGATCGGCCTTCACATGATTTGTCAAAAATTAATTTGTAATGAATCAACTTCAGACAGTAAACTTCGGTGCACCCTTTCTTATCGTAGCCATTTCACGGGTTGGGTTTCACTCTCTGGCGTCACCACGTGTTTCCTGTTGGCCCCTGTCACACCCTCACCCGCACATCAGGCCCGCACTACAGGACAGAGGCTGCGCTGGCTTCCCGAGACCTCACTTCGCTGGATGCATGACAATGTCGTCGTGAAATGCGTACAAGACGATTTTCCTTCTCTGGGCACTTCGTATCAAGACACGAGCTCACTGGAGGAAAATTCTGTTCGATTTCTTCAATTCAGTTTTGCTAGTCACTTCCAATTGTCATTTCACTGACTAAAGAGAAGGCTCCACTAACGTAACATACATCCCCAGTACCGGTGTGTCACTGTCTCCTTTTGTTTCATCTTAACACCAACATGTAAAATCAAATCAAAAGAAAATTTATTTTAAATGAAGCCATTTTGTTAAAAATTCTCGTATATCCTAACTTAGGCCCATAACCCTGGCCGCGCCATAGCTCAAGCGGTTAGTCGCTGGCTTCCCACCGCGGCAGCCCGGGATCGATCCTCGGTCTGGTCAAGTGGGATTTGTGGTGGACAAAGTGGCGCTGGGGCAGGTTTTCTCCGAGTACTTCGGTTTCCCCTGCCTATCTTCATTCCACCAATTCCTCCACAATCACCCTCATTTATCAACTGGGGCTGGTACAATAAGCCAGAAGTGGCCGCAGTACAAGGGACTTAGTCCCCCCCCACTAGCAATAAAGAACAAATAGGCCCATAACCTACTCAGTGAACTCCAACAAGAAGAGAATTCAGGAGGGGTGAAAATGTAAGGTTAAGATATCCATGTTGCCTCTATATGTCGCTGCTATCGCTGTGGGCTCTGTGTGAAACATGTAACGATCAGCGCGAGTCGCATTCGCTACGCCATTTTGTTTTAGTGTAGCAAAACAGATATTCTTTATTGAATTCATGTTTGTGGTGTGTATTATCAAGATTGGTACACTTAACTGATCATTTATTACTACCGCTGCATTTTTATGAGCTGTTGTGATTTGACGGCCGTGGGGATCCGTTGCGCTGACCACGTGACACCCTCTATCGGCAAAATTTGGCACTAACTTCGCCGACAAGCGGCTGTCGTTCGGTCGGTATAGTTCGCCTGCGGACTACAGGCCACAGAGTTTAGTTTAGTTTTTGTGGTAGGTGTAGACGGTCAGTTATGAGTATTGATCTTATTCGTTCTGGTTGTGTTATTATGAAGCTGTTTATAAATGTGCTATTTTCTTGTTTCTAGGGGTTTCAACAAGACGGTAATATTTTATTGTTTTGCTCAGTTTTCGATCCAGATGTAAATAATGTGATTTTCATCTGCCGGCAATTTTTTTGCGTATACTGTGTCATTTAAAAATATGTTTTATTCGAGTTACCGCTAATGAGTAAATAAAGCAGAGGTCCTACACACACGATAAATTAAAATTATTACGAGTTTGTACCATGAGGGTCGGAAAGTGGCGTCGCTCTTGAATTTGGGGGGAAAAAGAGAACTGAAAACAGAAGAAAATATTCAAAATATTAAAATAAAAATGTTTATTATTCTTTAGGATCCACCTCTGTGGTCTAGTGGTCAGAGTTCCTGCTTACAGATCCAGAATTTCTGAGAAGTAGTGGTTTGGAACGGGGTTCACTCAATCTCGTGGGGATAATTGAGAAGCTAGTTCAAGGAAATAGCGGATCCGGTCTAGAAAACCGAAATTAACTGCCGTGGGGATTCGTTGCGCTGACCACGAGACAACCTCTATCCACTAAAGTTGGCACTAACTTCGTCGACAAGCAGCGGTCGCTCGGTCGGTATAGTTCGCTTGCGGACTCAAGTCACGAAGTTTGTTTGTTTATTACTCTTTAGGAAGATTGTTCTTCTATGCGAATATTCTGGCGTAATAAGTAGAAGTTGCCTAAATTGGCTTAAATTTAAGCGTGTAAGCCAAATTTTCTACCTGCAGCTCCTGAAAGAATGGCTGGTTCCTTTGAAAGAACATGGTGGCTCCCACAGTTAGGACCGAAATCGGACGACTAAGACAATTTTGCAACTGCAAGATGTAAATTGTTGCAGATCTGTTTATATGGCGATACAATATTTATTGCATTCAAGTTAATTAATTTTAATTGCGGATTTTGCTTTCTATGATTTACATTCTAAAGACGAAAACTCCGTGATTTTAGTCTGAGCTCAGGCCTCGCCTTTACTTGACGTAGCGAGCCCCAGTCTCAACTCCAAACTTCGAGGAATGCAGATGCAAACTTGCAGTAATCAGAGACCTTTGCCAATCTGTCTAACAGCACAGTGCTGGCATACGACACGTAAAATTGGCAGCGGGCTTGGCTAACACGCGACTGTCGGCCAGTGATGTATCGAGTAAGACAGATATGAGTTCCGATGCAAAGGATTATTAACTCGCGATCGAATTCTACCTGTTGAATGTCTGTGTTCATAAATTCGTGCATAATTTAGACTGCCGGCAACGAAAGAATTCAATGCGAAAAATTGGTTAGATTTTCCCTATGTGTGTGTTTAAGAACCCTGTTTATTTATTCATTATAATAATTGTTTGTTATTCCCTTCAAATGAATTATCTTTTGTGGCTTTATGTAACTTGTATGTTATATTACTATAGAATTTTCTTTTATTTTGAATAGACATGGGTGCCTTTTTGAAACCGACAGTTATGCATATTTTTGTTTTTTGTTTTTGTTCTCATTGTTTAGTAAAAATTAACTTTTCGTGAAGCCATATATTTGTTTATATATATGTGTGTGCGCGAGTGCGTGTGTTTATATGTGTATATGTGTACATATATGAAGAAATGCCTTCTGCCATCTATTGATCGGATTCAAAATATAAAAAACCATTAATCTGAGAAGTAATGAATTTCATGCATTTACGTATAAATCACACGCACAAATTGCGTCAATAAAAGAAGCGGGGTAGCACATAATGCAAGAAATATAAATATTACTTTATATTAGGTTCGCAGTCAGTGCTGTTTGGTGGGGGGGGTTGTTTTCCGACGTTGTCAGCATCTCTGACGTCACAGAGTCCCATAGCAGGACGATTAGATAATTAGGGAAAAATATGTGACCTAAGCGAAGTGCTGTCCTGTCATTCGCCTAGAGAGACTGAAGGACACCTCAGTCAAGATAGTCGGTGTGCCTGCCGCGATTCGAACTGGGTACTTCCCAAATACTTTTCAGTAAATCACCCCTTGGCCATCTCGTTTGGTGGCACTACTGTTAACAACAGGCTGCCACTGAAGACTCACGAGTCACATTCCTCTAAATTGTTGCTCAGTGACAGGCTAAGATGCTGCAGGTCTGAGTTCAATTCCCGGTAGTCTCAGAGGAGAGTAACATTTTCTCCGCCCTAGCCGTTTCAAGAAAGTCCGCGACGACCACACAAGCTCCTATACAAAGAGTGCTCGTACTTCTATATCAGACTAAAGTGGACGGAGCTTGAAACTGATAACTCTACTCCATCCAGTGTCGAGGTTTAGAATGTGCAGAGCTTCCCTTCTGTTTCTCTATACGCCTTTATGTCAGACTGTTTAGGCAAAAATTAACTGACGTTTACTTAGCAATTGTGAGTGAGACCATTTATCTATTGATGAGAGGTCGCACTGGCACGGGATTGTAACAAATTTTTAGTCTTTCCACCATCACTCAGATGGTCCCGGTTTCAAATCTCGGTTTGAGGACCGACACTCCTCTACATTGTTGTCTTTTCCATTATTTCTTCCAGGAAAACCTAATGCATCAATTTGGGACACAAATGCATAGTGCTTTGTCCCTTGTAATTTACTATTCAGTGATCAAGATTTTCTCTTAAAGTAAACCGCAAATAAAGAAATTACTTCTCAGTACTGATGTTCAGCATAGCAAATTGTGTTTTCAGAATTGAGCTATGCGCCTCAACCCGCATCATTTTCTGATTTATTTCATTCTGTTTCTTTTGCAGAGAATTCGCATCGAGGAGGCACGTAACGTAGATCATCTGCACCCAAAATTAACCAATCAGGAGAGAGGAGGCAGTCAAGAAACTAACACTTAAATATTTTTGCTTGAGCTTGAACCTGTCTTCACACACTTCAGTAGATATGAAAGAAAACCTAACCAATTTTCATGGAATTCAGTTTCTGTATAGTCTTATGTGGGACACACACACACAGAGACATACATACACACGCACACACACTGCTCGATAGCTCTATAATAAAATAAACTTCTGAAAAGAATAGAAAAAATACATTAACACTCTACTCCCTGCATGAGCCTCCCTTCTTTGCCGCCAGAGCAGTTCTACTCGTATCTTATGTTACGCAAATTTTTCTCTTGTAAACAGATTCAGCGGTTCTCTGTTGATATATTCGACACACGAACTCTGTCCCTGGAAGCCACTAAACTTTCTGATCTTCACGTTCTCTTTGATGTATATCTGTGTTACTAGACCGTGGAGGCCCATAGGTTTCTGAGACGTCGAAGCTTCAGCATTTTCTGGATAATCGGCTCACAGATGGCGGTGAGGTTTTCAACCTTATTCACAGGCCGCCATTTATCCCCCAGGAAGATTTCTGGTACTCATTTCAGTTAGAGACTGAGCCAACCCCAGGGCCATAGTGCGGCTGGAAGGATTAGCTCAATTAGAAAATTCAGTGGCATCGGGAATCTAACTCGCAACCTCACCGACATCTGTGATACGATTGCCTATAAAATATAGGAGCCTCGACATCTCACAGCCCTATGGGTCTCCGCTGTCTGAACAAGGATAGTTTATTAACATCTTTTTATACAAAATGACATAAGAATACACGGTTAGAACACTCTACAGCGTGTCCGGAAAGTCACTCAGGGATTAGAGGGCCGTAGTTTTTTAACTGTTATACATACTGAAGAAACGATCCAGGTTAATATATATTGAATGAAGAAGTTTCTGTCAGTAAATGCTCACGTGCCTTCCTTCCGTGGGACGACAGACCTCCAGGCGAGAGCTGATCTGAACACATCCCTAACTACAGTGTCCCGCTGGTTGCGTTTCCCGCCTGCCCAGTGCAACTGCACACGGCACGGCGATATTGCTGTACACTAGAAAGTAGTGGTGCGTCAGATTGCTTGCTCTCGGAGGCCAAGTAACAGGACTTGGGCAGTGGACAGTCTTGATGAGAGCCCTCCGATATCAGCAAATTGGGCACCTCACAATTTTCTCATGCAATCTTACGTGAAAATACCACTTATGAGCGTACCGGGCACCTGGCCAACTTAGGTGAATTCAAGCAGCGAATCACTGAAGCTGTGATAACAATAATTCAAAAGATGGGTTAAAACCAGCTATCGGCTAGATATCGGTTGTGTATCTGCTGTTACCCAAAAGGAAGGCATGTGAAAACTTAGTGACAAAAACGATTTGAATAAAACATCATTTCATTACATTTTTTTTCTATAACGTGTTTAATTGTTAAGAAAATATACGATTCTAAATTACCGGAGTGAATTTCTGGACGCCGCTACTTCAGAGTGGACGGTAGTTCCATTCATTTCACTACTGGACACCCACAGACTTACTGATTGCCCTCCTGCATAAACCCACAGATGAAGACACGGGTAAGTGCTCTAAGTAGATCTTTGCATGTAAAGTTATGCCGGTCACGGTAGCCGAGCCGTCTAAGGCAGGTACTGTCTTCGCTTGCTCGGAAGCCGGGATCGAGGGTTCGAATCCCACACAAGACATGGATGTTTGGTATGTGTGTACGTTTATTCTGTGTTTGTGTTGTCTTGTATTTAAGTAGAGGCCTTGCGACGAGATGATCACTCGTCCAAAAGCACTACCGTCTGTAAAAATGATCATGAAACTGAAAAATCATAGGATGGGGCCCAAGGGGGCTCTAAAGACAGTGAAAAAATATATATAGTAAAACCTTATTAATTCGGACTGGTAGGAGGAACGTGTAATTTGCAGCAGTGAAAAGTCTGAATTACATAAGATAACTATATGTAAATATTTTCAAATTGCAGTTCATAAAGACGAGGAAATTTATTCGAAGTCCGGCAGCATACCTGCAGGACTCCATTATTTTCTGTTGAAAGTGATCTTTCCAAAAAAAAAAAGAAATTTTATTGTTTTCAAGCACAAATGATATGCTCTATGCGTATTTTGATATTCATTTAAGTTGGCAGGAAACAATTTAATAATCCAAGTTTGAATTCTGAAGAGAGGGAGACAGGAAGGGAAGTGGGGAGAATAAGAGGGAACAGGGAATATTTGTGTCTGAAATTTCCCAAGAAGTTCCTACTCTACCTTCTGATATGTGTACGTTGGAGAGAAGGTAAAGCGTTGGGAAGTGAAGAAGGTAAATCATTGTGTGTTAGAGTGGCATTTTGAGGGTAACATTGCGAGGGCTGGAAAAGAGGCATACAGTTCAGCTTGGAATTTGGTTTTCAGTTCTACATTTGATATTTATCTGGATTTGATATGAATAATATCTAACCCTTCCCCATCGACAGGCACACTGAGTGCGCCTTTCGCATTTCCTTGCCTGTTCTGGTCCTGTTGAGCCATCGGTGCTCCGTGGTACTCTTCATGGTTGCTCCCGTTTCTTGAAAGTTATAAATGAATAGACCACTTCATAACAGAAGCTGAAATGACATAGCCAAATAATATTTAAAAGAGAAGAAAATAGCAGTAATTGTATTTCAATTTTAATTCAATTTAAATTAAATTTAAATATGTTAAATTTTTATCTCACAGAAAACACTGCGGATCCATTTTAGAGACAAACCTGTTAATGCTGTAGAGGAAATATTCTTCTACGTACATTTATAGTTTTTTCGACAGTGGCGTCAGTAACTCGGACTGTATAGCCATGAATATGAAAATATTCAGTATTTACGCCGAGAATGACAAGAAACCTAAAAATACACTATTTTGGAAATATTCATATCTTCTCAATGATAAAATAGGTGGTACATACAACAACCACTGAGCTTTAAAAGGATAATAAAATTCGGTTCCTTCATTCCCATCAAATGTCTTAAGAAATGTCAATGTTTGATTGATCAGTAAGAAAACTAGATTCTTGTACAATCAACAAGCACGTATAGCTGTGAGAAAGACTTTGCTGATGATTGCTTCACGTGACCGTGTTTGTATTTCAGGCGAAGAAGGCGAAGCAGGCCGAGATTGAGCGCAAGCGCGCTGAGGTGCGCAAGCGCCTTGAGGAGACGGCCAAAGCCAAGAAGGCCAAGAAAGGTTTTATGACCCCGGAGAGGAAGAAGAAGCTGAGGGTAAGTCGTGATCGGTCGTGATCGCGTAGTCAGAAATTGCTACCCTTAACAGTAGTTTTTGGTACCTATTCAATCCTTAGATATTCATTATTCATCAGTAATCTGTCAAGACGACAGGTCCACAGTCTCTTCTAACACAGTTCCTCCGCTTGATGCGATCTAGAGCTTTCTCCTTCAAATAAAAATATCCTCTTCTGTCCCCAAGGTCATCCAGCATCTTACGTCTTCTTCCTCGTCTTCTGGTCACTTCTATCCGCCCCTCTATCTTTCCTTCAATAACTTCTTTTAGAAGGCAGTTACCGCGTAAGATATGACCAATCCAATTAGCCTTCCGTTTTCTTATTTCATGTAGGATATTCCTCTGCTCACTGACTCTAAATAACACTTCTTCATTTCTCACATAATCGGGCCAACTGATCCTTCGTTATAAGCGAAAATAATTTAAATCTGAGTAGAGAGCTCTCCATTTAATTGAATGGGAAATTTAAAATATTAATGTAGGATCAATATTTCTTACATATAATTCCAGAAGAAGACATTTCTTATTCTCAAAATACAAAAAATAACTAAATATAATAATTACCTGAAATAGTAAAGTCATAATAAATTGTGCTGTACATGTAAGCAAAAACATTCTTGCTATTCC